CATGCAAAATTTCAGCTAGATCAATCAACCTGAAGTGGGTCAGGAGGCATTACTTACTGGACGCCCCTTGTATCGTCCTACATATATTCTTGTGACCCTTTAAAAGAAAAGAAAATATAGGTAAACGTAGTAAATTTAAACTCTGGATTTTATTTTAAATGTTAGCGTGACATACTGCAATAAGACATGTATTTCAGGGTTTACACCAGGGCTGATGTAGGTGGTATCTATTCCATGGTTTTCTGATTATTGTTTGATTTAACAGGTGCTGGAATCGTCGAAACGCTGGTGGAAGTGTCGTAATCGGTACGGCGAGGTGGGCTTTGTCCCCTTCAACATCCTGGAACCAGTGGATCACACAGACAACCCCGTAACCAATAAACCTCCCAGTGTAAGAATCCCACAAGAACTAATGATGCAATCACACAAGTGGAACTCAAGATGAGTTACACTATTGTGAAACTTTTCCTGTCTTTGCTGCAGGCTCCAGCACCGCCCCCCCTCAACAAATCCATCACCCCAGTCCCACCGAGCCCCCCTGCTCTGCTCTCCACTCCCTCCCACTCTCCTCAGCGCCCTCGCACCTCCCCAACAGGCAGCCAACATGTGCCAGTCGCAGATGAAACTGATAAAGGTGAGATCTCCCTTGTAACATACTAAATAAATCCTCCCTCACTTGAAAACGTCTTTATTTTAGAGACATTTATGTTCAAATATATAACAAAACAATAAGCTAAGCCTGCTTTGTTAGTAGGATATTCTACTGTTTATCGTAAAAATACAAAGTTTGTGACAGAGTTGGCCTATAGTATGGCCTGAACCCATATATATATTGAACCCACATATAAAAATTTGATAAGTATGGAGATTAGAGATTAGTTGTCTTTTTTTCAACCTTTAATATATCAATGGCTTGAAAGATTTCCTATAGGCTATAAGTATCTTATTACAAAAATAACAGAAAATCACACCAGATTTTAGGCTACTTTCTCAGAAGGAGCCTATTTATATATATAAAAATATATATACATATAAATATATAACTTTTTCCCTTTTCTACTGGTACTATCTGTGATGAAAATCTGATTTCAAATCAGGATTATGTTGATTAATGATTATTTCTATCTGTTTCCACATGAAGTCATGTTGGTGAATGATGAGCTGCTCCAGAGGCTGACCAATGGTAAGACCAACCTGAACAAACCCCTGGTCATCCATCGAGCTGCAGAGACCTCAGTTCCTCTGGACTACCACTCTCCTCCAGAGGAGGTGACTGAGTGGCTCAGGAGAAAAGGCTTCAGTGAGCCGTGAGTGATGCCCAATCAATGCACATTTTCATACCTTCATAAGCAACCTGTGGGTCTCACCTGTGCTGTCGTCGTTGCAGGACGGTTCAATGTTTGAGCGTGCTGACAGGAGCTCAGCTCTTTTCACTCAATAAGGAGGAGCTGAGAGCTGTGCTTCCAGATGAGGGGGTCAGAGTCTACAGTCAGCTCGCTGTGCAGAAAGCACAGCTGGAGGTAAATCATTGCTTTCTTTATTTGATGATTTTAGACTTAGTAACTGTTGTATTTAGTTGATCAAATGTGTCAGATTATCTTAACACAGAAATCATTATTGTTCCCCAATAGACAAAGATTTATTTTTCATTTAATGCCGACCCTGAGTAAAAATATTTGTTTCCCACTATATACAAAAATTCAACTTAAGATTTGACCAAGCTCAATTCACAGATAATGCCCTTCAGTTTTTAACTGCTTAAATATAACTAAGTATAAAATATATTTCTTTTTTTACCCACACAAGCCATAACATGGGGCTGAATGAGGCGTCCGAAACAGCTTCATATTTTAAGGCATCAAACTTTCATCAATAAAAGCTTAGGACTTAATAGAATCGTTTTGGCCAAATTGTAGAAATCACAAATAGTAGTGCAGTTTAAGAACCATCAAAAGATTCACTTCCATACAGAAAGCCCACATTCATATCTTCAGGTTACACAGAGTACTTGTCAGACTTAATACTACTACTTTAGCGATAGTTTCAAGGTGTTGTTTTATTGTATGTCTCGTACCATGTCTTTCGGTTGTGCTGTTCTTTTTTCATCTCGTTGCAGGTGATGAAGCAGACTGAAAGTGTTTTGTCATTGTCTCCTTTCTCTCTCCTCTTTCTTTCATCTTTTCTTTTTTCTTGTTTTTCTGCTCTATTTACATTGCAGTGTCCATATAAACTGTAAAACTCCCTGCATAATTATAATAAAGCAATTTATACGAATGAAACAAGCGGAACACTATGGCAATTGCCATACTGCTCCACTTGTGAAAGTAAAATCTGTTAGGCTCTTTTTGGCATCAAGACAATTATTCTTATTGCCGCATTGTCAGAAAGGACACTGTTAAAAAAAAAAACCATCAAATGAGTTAAAAAAAAAAAAAAAAAAGATGAAATCAAGATTTGATTTTTGAACAAACAAGTGTCTAGTTATTCAACTGGAACAATGAGCTTAAATGGTAAAAATTTCAACAGAAATATGCAAAAAGTGAAAACCCTGCATATTTTAAATAAAACATCTTTTATGCACTTGAATCAGAAATAGTTCTAATTTCATCTTTATTTTTATCCTCAAATAGACGATCTGATCCCTTAAATTCCATAGAATCACAATGGACATGATGTTTCTAGTGTTAGAATACAAATAAAAAAATATTTTTCTCTTCAGTAAAAATAACCCTCGTTCAGCAACAAGTTGAGATGACAGCATAAACCTAAGATGACTCCCTTTAAATGTCTCATTAAATTAACTTTTTAATCAATAGAGCAGAATAAATGTCTCCTTGCTTATGAAGACTTTAAATCCCTTGTCTCCTTTGGTGCCAACTAGCCCATGCTGGTCTAAACTCGTTTACAAAGTGTTATTAAAATCTCGTCTGTTCCTCCTTCCAGGATGCCAGGAGGGCCACAGAACTGGAAGCAGTCATGGAGAAGCAGAAGATGAAGGTTGATCTGGAGCTAGAGAGCAGCACACTGTGAAAAGGCTCAGGAGGATTATATTCTTCAACTGTTGAGTTTATTTTATTCAGCTGGTTAGAAGAGAGAAACTGATTATCATTTTTATCTGTTAGGAGCATTCAATGGTTATTATGCAATATTATATTTTCTGTGTTGTGCAAATAAATATTTAAGGATGTGCTTTTGTTTTTATTTCATCCAACATGCATGTTCTAATGACACAAAAAAGAGACAACTTTAAATGTTTTCTTTTATTGTAACTTTAAAGAAAAATTTCAGTCCAACTTGACTGAACACATTTGGGGAGCAGTGCATCCATTAAAATCTAGTTAATGTGATTCTAGATAAATGTAGTGGGCCAGTCATTACGGTTTACTGGTTCGGTTCTAATTCCCAGTAGGCCACTGCTGCATCTGATCCTTCACATGTCGACACTACAGACCGTTTAATTAAAGGAAGGGAGAAGGTGAAACTTGCAGAGAGGATATTCATCACCAGAACTAATTAAAAATAAAAAAAATTCTTAACCAATAATGGGCAAAACTCACAAGTTTTTACTTTAGAGGTCATAAAATATTTTTTTTCCCCCAATACTACAACTTTAAAATCCGTTTGGGGTCTGAATTAGAAACGTAATAAATCAGGACAGACATTCAAGAGAAGCATGTTACCACGACACAGCAGAAAGAACGCCTCAGAGGGACAGAAAACCAGATAGGACGGGCCTTTTTAGACTAACGCATATTTACAGACCTTTATTTAAAAGAAACATAAAAAAAAAAATCATTAGAGGAGTAAAATCAGTTGGCTGTTATGATTGCAGGATTCGCAGCCTGGACTGTATTCATTTAACTTTTTTTTGTTGACTTATTTTAATACAAATACAGCCTTCAAATAAGAACTGATCAACCGTCTCCCCAATCCAGAAAATTTGAAACAGTGCTAGAAAAGTGATTTCATACCACAGCTTAGTTATGAGGATGGACTGCATTACCAAACAAAGCAAAGGTATGAAGGCAACTACTATGTTTAACAAAAAAAACAAACATAAGGGACCAAGAGGTGAGAGACAGGAGGAGGAGGCTGTGTGTCATAGCAGATGCTGTTTGGTCTTCAGAAGTCCCCTGTGTCCCTGTCTTCCCCTCGACGGGAGTCCGACCTGCCGTTCATGCTGTCCCTCTTGTCTCGAGAACGATCTCGAGACGAGCGCTCGCGGTCCCTGGATGACCTACAAGGGGAAAATGGCGTAGTTTTAACAAATCTACTTTTCACTCAAGCATTGCGCATCAGAATTTAACAGAACCACCAGCCTCAGAGAAAAAAAATCTATGTAACACCAAGTGATCCTAATCACTTCTAGTTTTGAATAAGGTTGTTTTATGCTGTATGTAAATATCTGGTTTGATGAGATGATAAAAGTGACTGATGGAGATGAAGAGAAAAAGCCTTTCTGAGCTCTCCGTCTGTCCAGATGCAGTGAAACCTCAGCTGCGTGTGTTTTGTACTCACTTATGTCTGGAGCTCTGCTCATGGCTGTGACGATGCCCTCTGCTGCGGGACCGGGATCTGCTGCGATGCCGCCTCTTTCTGTCCTTGGAGCGAGAGCGGGAACGGCGCCGGTCCCGCGACGAGGAGCGGGAGCGCCTCCTCCTGCGGTCACGTGAACGGGACCTGGTTAAAAGAGACACAATGAAATATTTTGAATTCTTATATTCATAAGGTATTAAAAAAATTGTTTAGGAATATGCTTAAAAAAATGATAAAGACAGATGAGTTTAATTGCTGACCTTCTATGCTCTCTGCTGCGGGACCTGGTCCTGGGAAATAAACAATGAATTGTTGAATGAAAAAAAACAATCATGCTTAATTCCACACTTGGAGAGATCACCACAAAACTAGATGTGTCAATTTACCTTTTTCGCATCCTTTCCTCCTTTTCTCTCTCCTCTCTCCTCTTTAGGCGCTCCTGGTTCCTTTTCTCTTGCTTCTCAACCACTGTTTTCTGTTACAAAGGAAACATCTGAAGTCAGAAATAATTTCCTACAAACTCACCCAGTCAGCGTTTCATTAGCCGTGAGAAGTAGCACACGCTGCGGCAGTTTGATGCCTACCTTTAGCTGGTCCAGTTTCTCTCTGATTTGGATGAAGCCCAGGTGAAGCTTCCCACCAAAATGGTCAGCCAAGCGGCGGTCGTTGTCATGGAGACCCAAGTAGGCGGAGCAAACCTCACAAACACGAAGTTTCTGTTGCTGAAAGCTGGAGGCTGGCATGGAGTTTCTGTATTCTTCCTGCAGGACAAAAACGAGATGGATTAAAACCCACAACATTATTGTTTACATTGAGAACAAGATCCCCACAGAAGACACCAGTTCTCCCTGCTCACCTCTGCATCCTTTTTCCTGGTTCGAACTTTCTCCACTTCCTGCAGAACCTTCTGAGCCTCGTCCACGTTCCCCTCCGCTCCGAGCTGCTCAGCCTTGGCCAGAAGCTTCCCGATCTCCTCATTCAGCTCATGGACTTTCTCCGCCTGAAAGGCATCCATACAGTTTAGGGCCAACACACAATCAGAGGGATAACTAATTTTCTAGTTGGTGTGTGTTTTACCTTTGCTGCAACCTCTGCACTGATCTCTTCCTGAGTCTCAGCCAGCCGCTTCTTCGCCAACTCTGTCCGTCGGTCGCAGTCGGCAATGAAGGTCTCCAAGTGATCCACGGCCTTTAGGGGTAAAACACAAAACATTTAGCGGAAAGACATTTTTTTTTTAAACAAGTTCAGGCCAGTTACTCCTTTAAAATGGGTAAAGAGCTGAGATGTTTACTTACATCAAGTTCAAAGAACAGATCTCTCTCCTTGGAGGCTATTTCATAATCTGCCCGGAGTGCCAGGTCATGGATCTTTGTGCATTCTCCCAGGTCCATACGCTATCACACAAACAAACAAACATCATTCAGGACTATTAAAATCAAACTGACCAATTTATGTAACTGAACATGTAGCAAAAGTTTGAGGCCAGTTTTCATTTATATTCAGTTAAATTCACCCTTTTTTGTCCAGAATGTTTTCGTTGAGACTTTATACGATAAAGACAAAGAAGCTCCTTGTTTTAACGCGGAAAGGTGTGCAATTTTACAATCCGATTCCCATTAGGTGTCTCCTAATTAGTGCGTTTATTTGAATGCAGCTCCTCTTTGAAAGCCTCAAATACTTGCTAGGGAAAAATCAGAGAGTCTTCAGTCAAGAGCTTCTCTATATTCACTGGAAAAAAGATCACTACAGAGAAATCTTTCCTGCCTATAGACATTAACATCTACAACCATTAGTTCAGGATATAAATATAAACATTTAACTTCCCTTTGGGATAAAATACCAATTAAAAAAGTGAAAAGTGTGGCCTGGATCTATTTTAAGGACTTTAATTTGACACCTATAAATAAAGTGAACTGCAACCAAAAGACTTTAAACTTCAGCTGTCCTGATTTTGGTCTCAGTGGTTCAAGCAGCATCATGAAGACCAAGGAAGCTGGCAGAGAGGTAAAGGAGAACACTAAGGGAAAGTTCATAGCGAGGTCAACTTCTCCATCATTATCCCAGGTTTAGAGGGTTACAAGTGGGGTGATGACACAAATGTGAAACATGGTGGCGGTAGTATTATAGTGAGGGACGATGGCCATAGTTGATGGGAGGTGTGGATGGAGCTAGATCCAAGACAATTATGTAGGAAACCAGTAAAAGGCTGCAGAAAGCTGGAGACTGGGATGGAGGATCGAAGTCTAGTTCGACAACCACCCAAAACATACAGGCAGAGGTTCAGAGAATGGTTTAGATCACGGGTCAGACTGGCCTAGTCAAAGAGCAGACATATCAAACAGGAGGTAGGACTTGGAAAGTCAGTCTAACACCAAAAGGTTTACAGCCATCGCTGCAGCTTAATGGAAAAAAAGTTAAACACTGAACGTGGGTTCAGTATTAATGTTACTTTGTCTACTCTACTGTTACTGTTCCTTCTATTTCTAAATGATGCCCTTAATCTTGTCAGTCATCACATAAAGCATAAAAACCTTTGATAACATTCAGAGGTATGACAACCATTACGACACACAGCTGTGTGGGTCACTTACGGTTCCAGACAGGATATCATGCGGACAGCAGTTGAGAAGATGGCTTTTGCAGACTCGATCATCGGTGAACTTGACCCTCTGCCGCGTCTCATCACCTGAAACGGATCAAGAAAACAAAAGTGAGAAAAAACCTCACATACTCTACTGAAGGAGCGAGGCATCCAGAACTTTACATCAGAGTACTGTGACAGCATATTTGGCAAATATAGCTGCTCATACCTAAACTTAATAGATTCATGTCCCTCTTGTTCTTACTTATGAGAAATGTCCTTAAGTTTCCCATGAAGGGGTAATTATTCTGGTACAGCAACTTATAGGATAATCCTGTTTTAACTAATAATAAATATAGCTGTTCATGAACGGATTAGAGGCTGTTATCTTTGGTTCTTACCTTACCAAAGCCCCCCAAAACATGGAAGTGTAAAAGCTTCAATCTAGATTAACATGTTAAGGAGGCCAACGCTGCACTGTGATCACACAAAACGCTGGTGGTAGCCGTGCAAAGACATTTGCTTCTAAATAATGGGATAAATCATCTAGTTTTCTTACTTTCCTGAAGTTCAGCTTAAATAAAAAAGTTACTATGCAAAAAAAAATATTAATTTAGAAAAACAAAACAAAACACTTTCTTAAAAATTCTCCAGCCAAGCCTTTCATTTATCTAAAATATTAAATAAATTCAAAACAAAAAACAAAAATAATCCAAGGGAAAGAAACGTGGTTATACACACTGCGATCAGCACCACATACTGTACCCCTCTGCATCTTCAACATCTCAGCTGCAGAATTTTAAACCCGCTGTAGAAAAGTATAAATGGGAACAGTTTTCTTGCCCATACCTGTAGTAAGAAGTTGGGAGTCATACACAAGTCAAATTGTAAATAAGTTTGCAAAGTTTTTTTTGAGTGGACTGCTAAAAACGTGCTTTCTAAAAACCTGCCGTGTAACGGCTTTTAATAGTCGTAGTCAAAGGAGAATTGTTCGTATGGACAAAAACGCAACTAGACGAGTTAGCTCAAGAAGTGTAACACTATTGGTAACTGTAGTGCCACTGAATAAATATATGTATGCATTATTATGCTAATAAATAGAGAAAAATCTACTTGTTTAGTGATACGATTTATTTGAAAAAAATTAATTCTAAAATAAAAATATATCCGGAATGCAAAGAAATGGTTTGGATATTAATCATGACAGCTTTAAAAATTATGTGTGACTCACGGCTCGATGAACATGAGGCTTTTCTGCAACTCCCTTGCAGATTGATGTAGGCTGGCAATGATACACTGAACCTTAATGAATAAAATAAAGGGGCCACAATTGTTCAGTTTGTATGCAACACATGTATGGGAAGAATTTGATATCAATCTAATCACACATACACCCACAAGCTCACAACACAACCCCACTCTTACTGAACAGATGGAACTATCAGCTCTTCACAGATGATCCACAGTTCTGCTCAAATTACTTTTTACAATAGTTGTCTTTATAAAATGAAAAGTTGGCTGCAAAAAATTCTAAGTAGATGTTTGGTAGTGGGGCTGAAGATAAAAGCAGAGCACTTCCAACTAGATGCTCAGGCTTTTTATTTTTAGCTGAATATGATGAAAATGGAGAATTCTCTTTGAAAAAATAGTTTATAGACAGTGCCCTTCAAAAGCATGATAGTTTTATTTTTAATTGCAGCTAAAAGTTTCAATCCACAAATCTGCTTTGATATGAAAATCATCCAGTCTTGGAGTCTCCAGTATTTTCCAGCTTCTAACAAGTTTTCATCAAGGCTGGTCCTGGATTTAGCTCCCTTCATCTTCTATGAACTCTGACAAGTTGCCCCAAAGAAAAGCACCCCTCAGCATGATGCTGCCTCCACTATGTTTGATCAGATCATACCCCAATCGCTGCACATCCCACATATACCAAATAGTTGGATTATTTTCCACTCCTTGGCCTGCCTCATTTGGTGAATAGCAGTTATCACAACTTTGACACACTTTTTTAATGGCTGTATGAACAAAGCTCTGACAGAGAACTGAATATTGAGAATAATTTGTAGAATCACATGATGCTTTCTAACAAAACTAAGGCTTTGAAATACATCAACTGCAGTCAAATTTCAAAGCAGTAGATTTTTCCCCCCCTCTTTAGTGAAATCTAAAGCAAACTGGTTCCAATGGGCCATACTAAGAGCATCTTTAAAGAGAGGCAGAGAACAAATGAATTAATATTTTTTCTGATTTGAAAAAATATATTTTTAACACTATGCACCATTTGTGTTCCTCTTCTATTTCAATGAAATATTCTGATTTTTCTAGCTGACATGTAAAAAAAAGTAGAGCTATGTCAGATTTTAAAGTGTTAAAACTTTTGCAAGGCACTGTAAACTACCAAATTACTCTCCAAATTCCATATACTAAACGAATTGTTAAGAAACTGTTAAAAAAAAAGAACTGCAAGATTTAAACCAGGCTGTAAGTTTGATTAACTAAGAACATAAGTTAAAACTTTACTGCCCAAAAAGCTATACAATGTACACGAGTATTATTAGTTAATTATTACCCGCGTTAATGTCAACGCGGGTAAAAAGGCTAAGATAAATTCGATAATTAAGGTCTAATTAGTTAATTTAACAATAATCCCGACTTGGATACGTTCCAGCGCTTGGCAGTATGGCGCCTGAAGGTTCCCAGACTTCACAGTAAACAGTATATGAGCAAAAGCGAACTTAGCCGCCATGCTACGTAAGCTAAAATTCCTCAATGTATGTAAATGTGATCTAAAAACAGCGGGTGAACGCATAAAAGGATCAGTTTGGTATAAATCAAAGGCCTGAATTTAGTTTTACTCTGTAATTGAGCAGCCCTCTGTGGTACATCCATTCATGCAGGTCTGTCCATCACTCGCCAACACAAGCCAGCCTTTAGCAAAGCCTCCATCTTGGCTAGCTCGTTTAGCTTTTCACAGCTACTCACCATCCCTCGCTGTTCCCATCAGCTGGTCGAGCAGAGCTCTCATTTGAGCCTGGGCGGACATGGTCTAAGGTGAATCCGTCGACAGTCAAAACAGTGAAATATTTATCTAACTTGTTTACAATATTAATAGCTTTTTTCAAACAATCTAACCATCCCCGCTGGCTGCTTTTCTCTATGTCGTGAACTGGCTAGCTTCCGCTCAAAATTGAGGAAATGACGCAAGAATTCTGACGGCACTACGGATCTAAAATTGACCAATCATAAAGCTCTAAAGACCAAGCACGTAAGAATATTTTTAACCCTAAATTTAGGCTGTCAGGATGAAATCTTTCACAAGCATTCGTTAGTGGGTCTTAAAAATACATATTTTTATATTGGATCAGACTAGAACACAAACCTTATCATTAGACACTGGTAATACTTATATTAACACACTGCATACAGACTGTATAAATATTTCCTAAAGTGTTACCTATCAGACAATCTAAGGGTAAAAGTGACCCTGCTCGCTCTGCTTTTCTCTTACAGTTTGCTCAGATCAAGTTTTGCTCTTCTGGGTTTTTACTGTCGAGTCACACTAGTGACCGAAGAAGGAAACCTCGGTGAAAAGTTGACGTAAGAAACAAATCTTATTGCATTTACAACTCTTATTCTTTTAGCTTAATTATTGAGTGTTAGTGGAGACTGTTCTGCCGAATTAGCATTTGCTAAACAATCTGTGTTAGCCAATTACCTTTACCTGATTTTAGACTTTTTGTTTTCTCGCCAACATGGATGTCTTTAGCAAATATACTACATGTTTTTGTGAATTTAAAGAAATTTGGATTTGTTTCCGTCCAGGAAGAGATTACCATATGCTTTCTCATACATATTTCCCTTTTTAAGGAGGGAGTAAATAACCTGGGGCCACAGAGTGATCTGGGTGTGTTGTTCTGGCTCAGGATGACAGTTTCTATGGTTGTTTTTGAGCAGAGAGGTTTCTGGTATGGAGCCAGACCTGGCACGTTTGAATAGGTTCAGATCCACAAAGGTTGATGCAGCAGAAAGAGATGGACTGTCCCCCTAAATATTCAAAGCTCTGAAACATTTTTCTGTTTTTCTCTTATTAAAACAATGATATTTGAATTAATTCATTGTGATTTAATGGGCTGGATTGCCACTAAGCTGTGCAGAGTTGTACATTGCAAATAAACTGGCCTTTCTTCCTTCCTTGCTTTATTTTTTTATAACAGTAGGTGATATTTAATTTTTAACTGAAAGGAACGGATTTTTTTTAACCAATTCTTTGCACACAAAAAAAAATAACCCAATCTGATTCATCAGCCAAACATACATTTTCAGTTTTCACCAAAAAGTCTTAGTTAGATTTAGATGTGAACTTTGACTAGGCCATTTTAACACATTGATATGCTTACACGGATCTAAACCATGGTGTTCCTGCTTGAAGGTGAAACTACTGCAGTTTTCTGTGACTCCAACAGGTTTTTTTTTTTGTCAGGATTGTCCTGGATCTTCATCCATCTTCCCAAATCCCCTGATTAGCTTCTCAATCTTAAGCTTAGGAAAGGTATCCCACAGCTTTGTTCTGTCACCACCGTGCTTCTTTGTAAGGAAGGTTTATCAAAGTTGGTGTAGTAATTGTAAATATTTCAGAACATACAGATTTTTTTAACGCAGAATTTTGTTAAATTTTTTTTTTAAATCACCCGACCAATCATGCGATTGATTGATGTTTTCTTTTTAGTATTTTATTGCTTTTTTTCTTATAAACTTGCCTGGGACTACAGATGTAAAGTAGCCTTTGGGCTTTTTCTGGCATATTTACATTAAGATGTTCATGAATATACACTATCCTTTTTAAATAAATAAAGAAAGACAAAGCACCTTCTTGCGATCTATTAAATAGTTTTAGGGGGTCTGAATATTTCTGCAGGGGTATTGTGCATTTTTGAAAGTTCTGTTCATTTGTAATCAATGTTATCCAGGAATGCTGTGAGGACAGCAATGGAGACCACAGACCAAGTCACTGAGGGTTCCCCTCTGAAGTCGACAGAAGAGGAGGCAGGAACGATCACAGCATCGTCAGAAGCAGAACTCAAGAAGAAAAGTTGCAAGGAAGTCTTGGGTTTTTCTAAAATGACCCACTGGAGAACAGGGGTCTTCTTCCTCTCCCTCTTCCTCTGCCTCACCGTAGTGTTTGCCTTCTCCTTCATCATCCCCTGCCCTGAAAGACCCCAGTATAATATTTCCTGGAGCAGAAATTTCTCTGAAGCAGGTGATTTCTGTTATTTGAAGCACATAGAAGGATCTCCTACTCAGTGACTAACGGTATCTCTTGTATCCTCTCCCACAGCAACATACGACTTCCTTGCTATTGACAATGCGAACAGCGACAAGGTGATGGATGTCCTTTTTGTCCTGAAAAGCGCAGAAATTTCTCCAAACAAAACATGTGTTGATGCAGGTGGAACTACTTTCTGTAAACATTTAATGTCGAGCAAAATTAAGGTCCATTGTTCATCACTTTGGGGTGTTTTTTTTTTTCCAGGCTTGCCTTCCCCGTGTCTGTTCATGGTGGCGCTGGACGGCACAAAAGGACAGACGCTGTGGGAGAAGCCGCTGAATGCGGGGTTCCACTGGGCCCAGTGTGGCCTGCAAACACAGACCTGGCATTGTCTGTTGTCCCATTCAGACACCCTGACAGCTATAGACAAAAACACTGGTTAGTGCAGGTTTTACTTAATCAGAAAAAGTTTTTGCAGGTGCAAAAAAAAAAAAAACAAGTTTTTTTTTTTTCCTTGAATGATTGTTCTTCTTTCCAACCATTTCTGTAAAGATCCCCCCCCCTTTACACACATCGAAACTCTGCAGATTCCCTCTTCTGCATATATGTGCATAGTCATGATGTGAGAGTGAAAACATGTTTTATCCCATGTATGTGATGTCAGTTCGAGCTCATCACCAGCTGTCCTTTCATAGACTGTAACGATTTCACCATCGTCCTTTTTTTGTTCTCTAAAGAATCAACCTGAGAACAGATGAGTTAATAAAAACTCATTGTTTTTAAAGGTATTGTGGAGGATTTTCGTGCATTTTTTAAAACATTCTTAAAGAAAAAATGCACATTCACAACCTTGTACCCGCTCCCGAGTGGGAATGCCTATTAATTGCGTCTGAGAGCCCATTTATCCTCGTTTTACTAGCAGTGATTTGAAATGGAGTTCTCCAAATAGCATGCCAAACTTTACCTGTCGAGTAGCCGCTTTCAGTGTTCGCCATCTTGTGAAAGAATCTCCCAAAAACATTCTGTATTTGTTTCTCTCTTCTGAGGCCTTTCTCTTTTCTTGATCACTTCTCAGAAACTTTTTCTCTTACGTGCCGCTTCCAGTTTCAAAGAACCGAGGTGAGAAAGATGAGCTTTAATGACTGCCTGAAACCGTAGCTCACACATGCGCACAAAAAGATGCTAACTGGGGGACGAGTATGTAGCACGGCTTTACGTAAACGTATCACCAGAACGATTGACAATTAGGAGGACCACTTATTTTGATGATCCACCTGGAAAAATAAAATCCTCCACTACACCTTTAAGTCCTACAAACATTAGGGCCAGTGTTGATCAAAGAAAGGAGAAAAAAAAGCTGGATCGGTGGAGTAAATCTTCACCATAAAAAGCTCAGAAATTACTTTGATGATATAACAAAATCTGTAGAAGTATTTTGATATTCCCTGTGAACTAAAAGTTGTGCATTTTTGAAAAAAAGGTGAATTTCTCACTAAGCCTCATTAAAGAGGACTTATTTTCCTGATGAACTATTTATTTTATTTCTTGATAAAATATCTCATTAATTTAGCCAGAAGTGACCGTTGTTCTAACGGATGTAGTAAACATTCGACTCTTTAATGAACCCATGCACCATGATGCCTTGCACTCCAGTGTATAATTAAGTTTGATTAAGGATGATGCTTCCGGATGTTGGTTCCAGGGTAGATTATATTATATCCACAAGGAGCGCTGATTGAACCATGAATGGGACTGAAACGTTATCATTGCATTATTGTTTCATATCGTTCCAAGTTTATAAATCTGAGGCAGTTTTATGTAGAGAACAAACATATGATGCAATAAAAGTTTCATCAACCCTCCTGTGCAATTTAGCGAGCTATTAATAGGGCAGCAGGATATTAGAAAGTATTGAAATGATGTCAAGTGTGATCTCTGCCTATATTTCATTCTTCCTCTCTTCGGATTAGCGTTCAGTCTGAGACCTGCTCCTGCTGCAGCTAAACTTTAAATTAGTATCACGGCAGAATGATTTTACTAATAAATCAAAATTTAGATGTTTCACTTTATGATTTCATTATATTATTGACCTTTAAAGCTATCTTGTCTATGGATCGGATGGATAATAGGCAACTATTATGCACTTTTAGGCAAGTTTTTGTTTTTTGTTGAGAAATGTGGCTCTTTGGAACCTCTGCCCTGGCTTCAAATATTGGCTTCAAATATATAAAGTATAATATAATAAAAAAAATTATATAAAAAAAAGGGAAAATAGAAAGTACCAGTCTTAGAATATTTTGTGGCTTTTTAAAGGAATATTTGATTGAATTATCACAAAACAATCACACTAAAATAACCAAAAATATGTTATTAGAATTGCATCATCTTTAGAAACATTTAGTGTTTTTCTTTTAAAAGCTAAAAGTACAAATAAAGTGGTTTTTTTACAGCAGATATTTAACAAATATAACAAGTTATGTTTTACTAAAAGGACATATGATATTTGCTATTCTAAAATAACTTTTACTTAGCAGGAGAAAAATGGCTATTTGGATTTTAAAGGTTGCAGACCTCAGCTTTAAGGTCATTTAGCAAAAGTTCTGAGGTCAGATTTGAGTCTACAGGTTTAGGAGTCGGTGATCACACATCATTTATAAAATCAGACGTTTTTTGACTAAACATTCGTTTGCTGGCTGATGTTTCTGTTGTCAGGTAATATGATCTGGCAGCAGCTTCAGCCTACTGGCCTCTTGAGCTCCCTTCCTGTCCTCAGCGTCCCAGATCTGGATGGGGATGATGTCAGCGACGTGGTGCTGGTGGCGTCAGACGACACGCAGGTAAAACCGCAGCCGCTGCGTTTAACGCTCCACCTGCTGCATGGTGATATTTCTCCGTGAAAAAGTCTGAATCTATCAGGTTTATTGTCTAATCTGCAGACTCAGCTGATATTGCTCTCTGGAAAGACTGGAGCTCAGATCGGTTCCACTGTGATCATTGACTCCTTTGCTGCTAATGATCATCTTCTCCACCAAATTAAAGACGGTTCCTACTATGTGCTGTTACAGAATGGTTGGTAACACGATTTTTCTAAGCCCAACATCACAAGCTGCTACAGACCCTGAGGTTTATAGTAGCAGTTGCCCACATAGGTTGTTCAAATAGTCGTTTCTGATACTGTAATATGATGGCATGACACTCATACTAGTTTTGTTGCTAGTTCTTGGTCTGCATTATAAATCGATTTAATTGATTAATCGAATTTGCTTTTTTAAGAACATTACATTTTTTGAAAAATCCAGATAATTTTTTCACCTATGGGATTCCCATAGTTCAGATGGACTTCACTACCTTTTGTTCTAAACTGTATTTTCAAAACCCATAAAGTTGTAAATTATGTAAAACCACTATGTGCAAAGATTGTGAAGGTTATATTGAAATATTTAGAGCAGCGGGTCCGCTGACTTGTTTTACAATCATGTTTCACAGCTTGGATTTAGTTTCACTTTGATTTCAGGTAACATTCCAGAAGAATAAAGTCATTTCGTTCATTTAGAACGTTTTTATAAAACTAAAGGGTGGAAGCAACATTCAAATAATTTTACTTGGTTTGGTATGAATGAATTGTAGATTTTATTTCATAACCATATCGCTCTGGGCCACATTCAACCACAGGCTTTTCTTTCTATATAAAAATCAACGCAGGTTAGGATTAATTGCCAATGTTCTCCAATTATACATGCAGACACAAATGTATAAAATATAAAGCAGAAATAAAGCAGCACTGCATGGCTTTATTCCTAGAGGTTTTATAAGGTTCTAATTTGGACGGTGGGGATCTTCTTTCTAGGGATCTTGACAAAATCATTAATCACCATTGAAGCAGCTTTTAAGAATGTATGTATATATTTGAGTCTCCAAACATAATATGCCTCTGGGTGGATTAGAGAAAACGACAATAAATTAAAAATTTGCATCGTTCTATAATTGTACCTCCTTGAAGCAGCTTAAATGCATAATTAAAAGGATATCAATATTAAATGATGAATAATCATCCTTTTTTATGATTTATATATATATATATATATCTACTCTGATATGTAAAACAAGGGAAGATCTTCTTTTAAAGACCTGATCCCTTCACAGCCTCTGGGTTGTACGCACTGGCTCTGTGGAGGATTGCGGCCAAAGCCAAGGTAGAGCCCGAGCCGAGTCTGAAGAAGAGCACGGTCTTTGAGAAAAACGCCAGCGCCACAACCGGCCTCGTACCCATCTCCCAGTAAGAAACTGCCTACATTATTCAGAAAGGATTCACTGGTTTATTATTGTGTGGTAACGTTTTCAATTAATTCACAGGTCTAAGGGAGGACGTTTGCTCAGATTTATGGACTCAGACGTTTCCTCAGACCTTGTTGTTTCGTCTGACAGCGAGGTAACTGTATTTGATGGGAGCTCTTTAGAGGAAAGATGGAAATTCAGCACCACATCAACCATTGGGTGAGTCTTCGTCTCTTTTTCTTTCTCTTTGGATGGATTGCTATTTTGAAGGATAGTATTCTACCTCCAACCCGGCCTCTCTGAGTTGCATCTAAACCATCTGCAGTAATGCGCAAAAAGAGCTGAGCTGAAAAGCAAAGCACCAGATTTAACTCTGTCTACATACCAACCCTTACCGGTTGTCATGAGGTACTGATCCCGACAGAAAGAATAAGATCCTAAAATCCAAGTTCGTAGGCTGGACTTTGATTAGAGATGCAGTGATATCCTTGGAGAACCATCTGGGTCCTGTGTTTGGTCTGGGATCCCTGGAAGAAGTCACTGGGTAGAGGGATGTCTGATTCTCCCTCCTGCTGCATGTTAACAAAACACTTCTTAAGGATTTTCAGGTTAATTTTAGATAGAAAAATTATTTTTTTTTCTTTTTTTTCCCAAGTACATTAGTTGGTCTTGCAGTTAATAAAGTTATTAAACTTTTACATCCCAAATATCAACTGTAGCACAGAGGCTCATTTCTGTTAGAAAAAATCTAAGACCACTATGAGATTAAGGGAGATAAAATGTTAATTTTCATGAAGTAGTTTTTTTAGTTGAAGTTAAAAAAAAAACATTTGCAGTCACAGCAACCATTAGGAAGTTTAAAGCTATCACAACTGAGACAAACATGGCTGGAGGAGGATCTTTATCAGTCCTGCTCATCATAAGCCAGGTGGTCGGCAGGTTAGAACAGCATCCTGGGGTCACCGAATCTCCACAACAACCATTAGACCCAATCAGGCTGGTGAAGATTCTCAGTCATCCAGGTTATAGTCATTCAGAATTTGTTTGAATTGAAAAAGCTTCTTGGATGGGAAGCGAAATGTCTTCAAACTTGGAGACAAAGTCCAGTGGATTGTTTTTAATCTCATTTTTGGATTTAGACCAAATTAGTTGTAGGTGATTTCACACTGCCATTAACATCTCCACATGTTTAATGTAGAGTATCAGGGCTCGATGTTAACCATCGCCCAATCTCCCGGGGCAAGTAGTTTTTATTGTTGGGAGAGAACAAATTTCATTGCATTTGCCTGCCGGGCAAGTGCAATGATCGCAAAAAAAAAACTATTTATCTCTCAGAATTACTTTAAAATCACCGACAGTCGATGAAAACGACCCAGAAGCGTTGCCGGCGCCTTTTTAGTTGTTTTGTACACATTCTCACGTGATTTGAAAAAGCTGCGGGATTTTCCGTCAGATGGCGTGAGTCTTTAGCCTCGTAAGACCATCCTGATCTCGCGAGCTTTCAAGATTTCATTTGCTAATCAGTCTGGAGGCTCTCCGTTAAAGAAAATTTGGAGCCGTTCACCAAACGAACGTCCAATCAGCATTGGCTTTGAGGCGGGTCTAGGTGTGACGCAACGAGAAGCGTGACAGTTCAGTCTAAAGAACATGGCGGCTTCAGCCGATGAAACTAGCATTAGCGTGGCTATGGAGCAAGTTTTATCGGAATTACAGAGTATTTCTTAACTGAAAGAAGAGCAGAACACTGCTCTGGACGCTTTTCTTAGAGAAAGAGGTTTTTGGTCTTCTTCCGACTGGTTTCGGCAAGAGTTTGATCTATCAATTGGCTCCTCTTCGTCGTCGCTCTGTTAGTACTTCATATGCTTCGTTGAGCTGATTGGTTTATTTGGCCCGTCTATCACCAACATAGGCCAATCAGCTAACCAGTATTTTCGCCCCTTCCCAAAATTACTTCAACGNCCAGTATTTTCGCCCCTTCCCAAAATTACTTCAACGGAAGGTTTCCAGATGGATATGCGGAGCAAATCCATCTGGCGGAGTCAGGTTAGTGATTTTTTTCCACCTAGCGGTAATTTTTATGTAGTTACCAAAACAACAAACGGCTGCATTTAGTTTGTCAGGGAAAACTAATCCTGAGTCAGTTAAAAGTCAAGGAATTCTGAAATTACCTTATGTAAGACTGTAGAAACCCTGTATAGAAAAACTATGTATAATGATTCTCTCGAAAAGTCACATTATATTAATAGTATTATCTTGTATAAACATACCGTGACTCTAAAATAAAAGTTATTCATTTGTGACAAGTTTTTAACCTGTCAAGTTTTTTTTTTTTTTTTTTAACATTGCAATTTATATTTTTCCAAGCACACAACAGTTTAAAGCAAAGTTTATTTTGAAAAGAATGTACAGGAAAGATTGAAAAGCATGTTAACACGGTAATGTAGGCTTGAGTTCACTATCTGACACATGCATATACACACCAGGAACCTGGAAACTTAAAAAAAAAACTGAATTACAAAAAACATTTAAAAAACAAACATGTTTCATTGATAGATATACAAAAAGGAATATTAGGAACTATATTTATCAAACATTATACTGGGCAAGTAAAAATAGTTTGTAAAAATCCTTAACGTCAACCCCTGAGTGTGGTGGAGGATGTGTCATGCTTTGGGACAGGAGCATGAAGCATCTCAAAGAACCTGGGAGGTTCTGCCAGCTGAAAGAAACTTCTTCCACAAACAGAGAACCTGAGGAGGAGGGAGAAGCATACGGCCACTCTTTTTTTAAAATATTTTTGACCATTACTTTTAAAGTATGTTTGTCTTTTGGGAGCTCATTATCATTCGTTTAACTTTAAATAAATGTTTTTTTCTCCTCAGAAAGCCCTCCTTCGGTCACTTTAACAATGATAATGTCCTCGATCTGGTGATTGAAGACGATGTCGGTAACTCCACTAAAAGGGTAAGTCAACTTACATCTGATCCTAAACCCCTGAGCGGATCAGAGCTGACCTTCCCTCACCAACTGTGTCTGTAGATAACCATCCTGGATGGGCGGACCGGGGGTTTGCTGTGGGACATCCACAGTTTGGCCAGCGCCAACTCACCCAGACCCGACGCTGTGCACACCACCAACTCCTTCTCTGTTTTTATGTTTTGGGGCTTGGTTGCATCAGAGTCCAACTCATCTGTAAGTTTAATTCCTTTATAAACAAATGTCTTCACTGATATCAGTCCTGATCCTCACGCCTCTATCCTTCTCCTCAGGAACCGTTAGGCCGTGACCGATGCTCCTACATGCTGTATCCCCTCCGTCCCAACTATCTGCTCGAATGCACCAACATCACAGACCACATCGTGACATTTAAAGGTGTGTTGGGAGTGTTAATAACATGCAATAGTGTGTTTTGTTTTGAGATATATATGTGTATGTGCATATATTCTTATTTTATTCTGAATTTAAAAGGTATTTAAATATCATGAAATATTAAAATGTCTTTTCTATTTAAAGAAATACACATAAAAAAACCTAAACACCTCTGGTTACCGTCTGTCGTTCTGCTGAGCTGGTTAGCAGATGAAACCCACTGGCGGTCTCATCCTGAAAGCTCTATAACTGTTACTGATTTCAAAGCTGGATATAAAGATAATATAGAGCTTTAAATCCTTTTTTTCTTTCTCTAAACTGTTTCACTAAAATAATTACCCAATTACTACACAGCTTCAATCACTAATTCACCAATAATGCGTATGCCTCTGATTATTGTCTTTTTAGTTAAATTAGATGCATGGATTCAAAGTATAAAAATCAATACAAAATTTAGTTAAACTCTGTTGCATTTCAATTACATTTTAACAAAAGTTATGTGGTTAATTATTATTGTCTAATTCCCAATAAAAATCTAGGGGAGACGGCTGCTTCCTCAAATTATAAAATTATTTTCTCTCTTTACTGCTAATAAATTAGATTTTAATTTCGTTGTTTGTTTTTTTTTTTGTTCATGTTTTTCTTTCCTGTTTTGTTTTTTCTTTCTGCTTGAATTTTGTTATGATTTTTTTGGCTCCTCTTTTACTTTTCCTTAAGCAATACTGTGGTTTAAATAAAAAGAGAAACAAATGTGAAGCCTATATTATAACATAATTGTATATAAACAACATTGCGTAACTCTGACCCAAGTATTAGCTTAACTTGAGGTATATTAAAT